CAGTGAGTACCTGAAATTGCCATCAGCTTGAAACATCACAGTTGCTTTCTTGTTCAAGCTACATGACCATCACAGGTTAGTGAGGGGACTTTGTTCATTGTAGTTTCAGGCTGCTGGAGACTCTGTCTCCATGTATGCTCCTATGATCCAGAACCTGGGAAAGGAGACCAGTGAACCATGTGCTGACTTTCAAAGCTTTTTAAAGCTTATATTTCAGTGGCCAAAGTAAGTCACACGGTTACACCTGTAGTCAACAGGGAAGGGCTACAAAGTTCTCCTTCAGGGAGGAGCAGTACTTGTGAACTGTAATAGAACTGCCACTCGTAATTTATAGTTCTAACAGTTAAATCTTGTGGTAGTATTTGACGAGCTGTGTAGGATTATTATGCCAAACTTCTCAAAGCAACTAAACCTTTTATAAAATTATTTTTTAAAGATTTACTTATTTATTTGAGAGGCAGAATTAGAGAGAAAGCTTCTGTCTGCTAGTTCACTCCCTGAATGGCTACAACGACTCCTCAAATGGCCATGACAGTTGGGACTGGGCCAGGTCAAAGCCAGGAGCCTGGAACTCCATCCGGGTCTCCTGCCTGGGTGGCAGGGGCCCAAGTACTTGGGCCATCTTCTGCTACTTTTCCAGGTGCATAAGCAGGGAGCTGGATTTGAAGTGAACCAGCCAGGGCTTGAACTGGCACTCATATGGGATGCTGGCATCACAGGCAGCAGCCTGAACTGCCACAAAGCCAGCCCCTATAGGATTGTTTTTATCAAGATGTGTAGAAATTAACAGAATTTTTAGCATATCTTCAAGCCTAAAATTCCTTTCTTATTTTGTAATATCTTCTCCCTGTAACAAGTATGAAGCCTTAGTTCTTATGCTTTCAGGAAAGATTTATGCTTAAAAATACATCACAGTTTGGGCCAGCACTGTGGTATAGTGAGTAAAGCCATATGGGTGCCGGTTCAAGTCCCGGGTGCTCCACTTCCAATCCAGCTCTCTGTTATCGTCTGGGAAAGCAGTAAAAGATGCCCCAAGTCCTTGGGCCCCTGCACCCACATGGGAGACCTGGAAAAAGCTCCTAGCTCCTGGTTTCGGATTGGTCAGGCTCTGGCCATTGCAGCCATTTCAGGAGTAAACCAACAGTTGAAGAATTCTCGCTCTCTCCAACTCTCCAACTCTCCAACTCTCCCTTTCAAGTAAATAGATAAATATTTTTAAAATATACATCACAATTTATCTGGTGATGTAATGTCTATACATTGTGGTGTTTTATTTTGATATGCATATTTCTGGGAACAGGAGCAGTGAATCAATGTGTAATAATAATAATAATACTTCAATTTAATGACTGCTAAATGACCTTGCCATAGGATTTTTTCATTGTGTGACCAAAAAATTTTCAAACATTTTTCTGAATTAAGATGAAAGATTGAATTTATGCTTCTCATTTTTGTTACTTCCTGAAAATATACAAACTGTAGTGTGCAGTAAGATTTCATAGTAGACCTTCATGTATTTTACTTTTGCTTAGACTTCTCCCACATTGAATAGGGTGGATCTATGTGATTCTGTGATATAATAAATGTATATGTAACCAGTAGCATGTTGTGGGAGTGACACCAGCTCATTCAGATATGAGCCCTGTGGCTCAAGACAGATATGATAAAACGATAAAGAAAACCAAAGGAAGAACTTAAACCAGGATAAAGTTAATCTGTGGAAGGTGGCAGTTGGGCAATGCTGGTAAGAGGCACAGGGGTGTGTTAACATTTTTTTTTTAATCTTGGTGGTTGGTATTTTATTTTGGTTTTTCTTTATTCGTTTTAAAGATGTATTTTATTTATTTGAAATCTAGAGTGTCAGGGAGAGACAGAGAAAGAGAATTTTATCTTATGGTTCACTCTCCAAATGGCACCATGGCTATGGCTGGGTCAGGCTGAAGCCAAGAGCCTGGAATTCCATTGGGATGTTTCACATGGGTGGCAGAGGCCCAGACATCTAAGCCATCTTCCTCTGCTTTCCCAAGCACATCACCAGGGAGCAGGAGCAGAGGTAGAGCAGCTGGGACTCTAATTGGTGTTCTGATGTGGGATCCTGGCCTCACAAAGTTAATTTAACCCACTGTACCACAATGATGGCCCTTCAGACCTTTTTTATTTTTTAAGTAAATATTGTATTCAATTTTTATTTGCCTGATATATTTTAAAACAAAAATTTGAGTCCTAAAATCTAGTAAGAAAAACCTGTGCCTTTTTTTTTTTTTTTAAGATTTATTTATTTATTTGAAAGAGTTACACAGAGAGAGGAGAAGCAGAGAGAGAGAGAGGTCTTCCATCCAATGGTTCACTCTCCAGTTGGCCGCAATGGCCGGAGCTGTGCCAGTCCGAAGCCAGGAGCCAGGAGCTTCTTCCTGGCCTCCCACGCAGGAGCCCAAGGACCTGGGCCATCTTCTACTGCTTTCCCAGGCCATAGCAGAGAGCTGGATCGGAAGTGGAACTGCTGGATCTTGAGCTGGCGCCCATATGTGATGCCGGCGCTTCAAGCCAGGGCATTAACCCTCTGTGCCACAACACCAGCCCCAACCTGTGTCTTTTTAAATTGGAAGAATACTTCTTCTAGTAGTTACAGGGCTTCTTACTGTGAACTTAAAGAATAGGATTGAACGTATCTAGGTTCAGGTCCTGATCTTATGGAAGTCATGTAACCAGTCTAAATTATAGTTGCCTCATCTAAAATACTAAGCAATGTGGATTAGAAATTATGAGAAAGGGCTAGCATTGGGGTGCAGCAGGTTAGGCCGCCGCCTGTGACACTGGCATCTCATATGGACACTGGTTTGAGTCCCAGCTGCTTCACTTCAGATCCAGCTCCCTGCTAATGCATCTGGGAAAGTAGCCAAAGATGGCCCGAATACTTAGGCCCCTGTGCCCACATGGAAGACCACATGAAGCTCCTGACTTGGGCCTGGACCAGTGCTGGCTGTTGTAGCTGTTTGGGGAGTGAACCAGTAGATGGAAGATCCCTGTCTGTCTGTCATCCTCTCTCTGTAACTCTGCCTTTCAAAGAACTAGAATCTTAAAAAAAAATTTTTAAAAAGCAGTTACTAGAGGACTTTAAGATCCCTTTTAAGTCTGAACAGTTTTTGTAAAACTAACAACAATAACTGAAACCACACTCACGTGTGCTTGGAATGGTAGGGTGTACAGAAACTAGTGAATAAAAGCTAATGTGAAAGATGATTTTGATGTTTCTTTTAGTTGACAGAGTTCTAGCTCTTTACTTTGCCATCACTTTTTAAAAAAAAAAAAATTTAGGGACTGGTGTGGTGCCATAGTGGGTAAAACTACTGCCTGCTATGGCAGCATCCATATGGGCACTGGTTTATGTCCCAGCTGCTCCATTTCCTATCCAGCTCCCTACTAATGGCCAGGGAAAAGCAGTGGAAGATGGCCCAAGTGCTTGGGCCCCTGCATCTATATGGGAGACCAGGAAGAAGCTCCTGGCTTCAGCCTGGCCCAGCCCAGGTTGTTGCAGCCATATGGCAAGTGAACCACCGGATAGAAAATTCTCTCTCTCTTTCTCTCAACTCTGATTTTCAAATACATAAATTAAAAAGATTTATTTATTTGAATGACAGAGTTGGGGGGAGAGAGAGAGAGAGAGATCTTCCATCCACTCATTCACTTCCCAAATGGGGCTGGGCCAGGCTGAAGCCAAGAACTACATCCAGGTCTCTCACATGTAGGTGACAGGGGCCCAAGCACTTAGGCCATGTTCTGTTGCTTTCCTAAGCACATTAGTAAGGAATTGGATTGCAAGTGGAGCAGCTGGGCCTCCAGCTGGCATGCGTATGGGATGCCAGCATCACAGGCAGCCGCTTAACCTGCTGTGCCACAACGCTGACTCTGGCTGTCAATTTTAAGTCATAGTCTAAACTTAAAAAATCAAACTTAGGGGCCGGCACTGTGGCGCAGCAGGTTAATGCCCTGGCCTGAAGTGCCAGCATCCCATATGGGCACCGGTTCAAGACCTGGCTGCTCCTCTTCCAATCCAGCTCTCTGTTATGGCCTGAGAAAGCAGTATAAGATGGCCCAAGTCCTTGGACCCCTGCACCCACATGAGGAACTTGGAAGAAGCTCCTGGCTCCTGGCTTCGGATCGGCGCAGCTCTGACCATTGCAGCCAATTGGGGAGTGAACCATCGGGTGGAAGACCAATCTCTCTCTCTCTCTGCTTCTCCTCTCTCTGTATAACTCTGACTTTCAAATAAAATAAGTAAGTCTTTAAAAAAAAATCAAACTTAAAGTGGTAGCAGTTTGTATGTGATAAGAATGTTCTTCCAAGGTGGGCTTTTGGCTCAGCAGTTAAGACACCCACATTCTGGGCTGGTACCGCGGCTCAATAGGCTAATCCTCTGCCTTGCAGCGCCGGCACACCGGGTTCTAGTCCCGGTCGGAGCGCCGGATTCTGTCCCTGTTGCCCCTCTTCCAGGCCAGCCCTCTGCTGTGGCCAGGGAGTGCAGTGGAGGATGGCCCAAGTGCTTGGGCCCTGCACCCCATGGGAGACCAGGAGAAGCACCTGGCTCCTGGCTTCGGATCAGCATGATGTGCCGCAGCAGCCATTGGAGGGTGAACCAATGGCAAAAGGAAGACCTTTCTCTCTGTCTCTCTCTCTCACTGTCCACTCTGCCTGTCAAAAAAAAAAAAAAAAAAAAGAAAAGAAAAGAAAACCATATATGGAAAAATGAACATATTGTGGTGGTAGTTTTGCAGTGATTTTTTGTGAAATCTCAATTTTTAATTTTTATGTTGTACAATTTTATATTTTTTACTTAAGTTAAAAATTATATTACTGCCAAAAAGACTGTGCATATGAATCTAAATATTACTAAATATGTCTGAAATGTAATAGTACATAAGTGTGTGTGTATAGTTCTGTAATCTAAAAAAATTTTTACTAAGCATGTTTACTTATGTGCCTCCTTTTCTGTCTCCCCACAGAAATTATCCTTGACGGAAGTATTTTAAAAGAAAAACCTTCAGCATGGCCTCAGCAGTACTTAGTTCCGTTCCCACTACTGCTTCTCGTTTTGCCTTGTTACAAGTAGATAGTGGCAGTGGTTCTGATTCTGAGCCTGGAAAAGGCAAAGGCCGGAATTCTGGGAAGTCTCAGGCTTTGGGAAGCAAATCAACTACAAATGAGAAAAAAAGAGAGAAAAGAAGGAAAAAGAAGGAACAGCAGCAGAGTGAAGCAAATGAGGTAATAGTTAGAATTATTTGTGTTGCCTGATTTCCAGGTAGACTGTCACTGTCATAAGGGCAGGTGCTATCTTATTCACTCATGTATCCGTAGTACCTGGTCCATAGGTACTCAGTAAATATTACTTGAATGAATGGCTTTAAATGTGTATATAATTAAAGTCAAATGTTATGAATGTTGTTTAAATGCCTTTATTTTTTTCCTGACTGTGGAAGCTTATGTGTTTAGTTTGAAAAAGTTGAAACAGAGAAGTCTTAAAAGGAAACAACAGTCATTTGTAAATAGATTTATAGATAAAACAAATTAATATTTTGGTTATGTTTTCTGTACATGTATCTGTGTATTCATATTTTACCTAAAATGGGATAATAGACTTTTATAAATGATTTTTAAAAAATTTAACTGTGGTAAATTTTATATATCAGTAAATATAGATCTGCATTATTTTAAATAGTTTAATTATATGGTTATAGCCTACTTTAATTAAACTCTTGTGGTAAACATCTAGGTTTCCCATTTTTTACCATTATAGGCAAAAATTCTGTGACTAGCCTTGAACATACATTTTTTATGCATTTGTTGGTCATCTTTTTCTTCAGGGTAATAAGTACTTTTTTTTTTTTTACAGGCAGAGTGGACAGTGAGAGAGAGAGAGACAGAGAGAAAGGTCTTCCTTTTGCCGTTGGTTCACCCTCCAATGGCCGCCGCGGCCGGCGCGCTGCGGCCAGCGCACCGCGCTGATCCGATGGCAGGAGCCAGGAGCCAGGTGCTTTTCCTGGTCTCCCATGGGGTGCAGGGCCCAAGCACCTGGGCCATCCTCCACTGCACTCCCTGGCCACAGCAGAGAGCTGGCCTGGAAGAGGGGCAACCGGGACAGAATCCGGCGCCCCAACCGGGACTAGAACCCGGTGTGCCGGCGCCGCTAGGCGGAGGATTAGCCTAGTGAGCCGCGGCGCCGGCCGGTAATAAGTATTTGATAGATCATTCTCCCCTACCTATTCTTAGCATGAGTTATATGACCAACATTTAATATGCCCATTTGTTTTTAAAAGAAATGCTGAAACATAATTATAACTTTTTTTTTGTTTAATAGAAGGAAAGGTTGGGTGTGTAACCTTTTTCAGCATCATTTAATGAGAGAAGTAATAAAAGTGTTTTTTCCTTCCTCTTCGTATTCATTTTGTAATGTCTGAAGACTTAGAAAAAAGACTTAAAATTTGTTTCTATTGTGTTTCTATCACAATTGCTTTGTAAATATTCTATAATTCTTGCCATATAGATGGAAACTTTAAGAAAAAGGCATTTTCCCCATGGGTAAAATTACAGAAGTTCAATCTTTCAAAATTTTTGATTGCTGATTATTTTCCTTTTTGAATTAAAGGTGATATGGGGGATAGAAAATAAGGTAATAGTGCAGGTTATGGTAGAGAGTAAGGAAATATGTAACTAAGGATGAACACAAAGAATCCTCCTTTCCAGCTTTGGCCACCTATGGTTTTAGCAGTCTTTATAGTTAAATCAATGATCTTTGCCAGTGCTTCATCTCCAGAAGCTTCTCCTTCCCTAGTTCATCCCGTAGGAGAAACCAGGTACTCCAAGTGGTATTGGCATAGCATCACTGTCTCTTTTGTAGAATGCTGTATTATCAGTTAAAATTGTGATCCTCAACTTAAAGTCTCTTCATTGTTTCTATGAAAAAGTACCAAAGGCTTACCACAACAGGAATTTATTCTCTCATTTCTAGAGGCTGCAAGTTCAAATCAGATATCAAAAGGCCATTCTGTTCTCTGAGGTTCTTGGAATCCTTCCTGTCTCTTTCTAGTCTCTGAGTGGAGGCCATTTGATCTTTTACATTCCTTGGCTTGAGGCTTCATCACTACAGTCTCTGTTATGTTGTTATATGACATTTCTTTAGTGTATCTTCATCTCTTCTATGAGGATACTGGTGATATTGTAATAGCGTCCATTATAACTCAGTATGATCTTACCTTAACTTGATTACACCTGCAGAGACCTTGTTTCCAAGTAAGATCACATGCACAGATATTAGAGGTTAGGACTTCAGCATATCTGTAGAGGGGATACAGTTCAGTCCATTTTTGAAAAATGCCAGTTAAAGTCCTTTGCCCACTTCTTTACTGGATTGTTTGTTTTCTTGTTGTTGAATTTCTTCAGCTTTTTATAGGTTCTGTATACTAAGCTTTTATCAGTTACATAGTTTGCAATATTTCCTCCCATTCTGTCGGTTGCCTCTTCACTTTGCTGAATGTTTCTTTTGCAATGCAGAATCTTCTCAGCTTGTTGTAACCCCATTTGTCTATTTTGACTTTGATTTCCTGTGCTTCTGGGGTCTTTTCCAAGAAGTCTTTGCCTATGCCAGTGTCTTGAAGAGTTTCCCCAATGTTCTTCTCTAGCAGTTTGATGGTAGTAGGTCATAGATTTAGGTCCTTGATCCATTTTGAGTTGATTTTTGGGTATGGTGTAAGGTAGGGGTCTTGCTTCATACTTCTGCACGTGGAGATCTAGTTTTCCCAGCACCATTTGTTGAAGAGACTGGTTTTATCTCCTTTGTCAAAGATAAGTTTGGTGTAGATGCATGGATTGATTTCTAGAGTTTCTATTCTGTTCCATTGGTCTACACATCAGTACCAGGTTGTTTAGATTTTTTTTTTTTTTTTTTTTGCCAGTACCAGGTTGTTTAGATTATGTGTACTGTGATGCCTTTGGTCATTTTTTTTTTTTGGGGGGGGGGTGGGAAGTGTGTGTATAAGATTGCTTTAGCTATTCATGGTCTGTGTTTCCATATGAATTTTAGCATAATTTTTTCTAGATCTGAGAAGAATGTCATTGGTATTTTTTTTTTTTTTTTTTTTTTTGACAGGCAGAGTGGACAGTGAGAGAGAGAGACAGAGAGAAAGGTCTTCCTTTGCCGTTGGTTCACCCTCCAATGGCCGCCGCTGCAGCCGGCGCACCGCGCTGATCCGATGGCAGGAGCCAGGATCCAGGTGCTTTTCCTGGTCTCCCATGGGGTGCAGGGCCCAAGCACCTGGGCCATCCTCCACTGCACTCCCTGGCCATAGCAGAGAGCTGGCCTGGAAGAGGGGCAACCGGGACAGAATCCGGCGCCCCGACCGGGACTAGAACCCGGTGTGCCGGCGCCGCAAGGTGGAGGATTAGCCTATTGAGCCACGGCGCCGGCTCATCATTGGTATTTTGATTGGGATCACATTGGATCTGTAAATTGCTTTTGGTAGTGTGGACAGTTTAATGATATTAATTCTTCCAATCCATGAACATGCCAGATTTTTCCATTTTTGTGTCTTCTATTTCTTTCTTTAATATTTTGTAATTTTCATCATAGAGATCTTTCACCTCCTAAATGTATTCAAAGATATTTAATTTTTTCTGTAGCTGTTGTGAATGGATTGATCTTAGAAGTTCTTTCTCAGCCATGGCATTGTCTGGGTATACAAAGGCTATTGTTTTTTGTTGTTTTTTTTTGTTTTTTTTGTTTTTTTTTTTTTTTTGACAGGCAGAGTTAGAGACAAAAAGGTCTTCCTTCCATTGGTTCACCCCTCAAATGGCCTCCACGGCCAGCACACTGCACTGATACAAAGCCAGGAGCCAGGTGCTTCACCTGGTCTCCCATGTGGGTGCAGGGCCCAAGCATTGGGCATCCTCCACTGCCCTCCCAGGCCACAGCAGATAGCTGGACTGGAAGAGGAGCAACCAGGACAGAATCTGGCGCCCCAAATGGGACTAGAGCCCGGGGTGCCGGTGCCGCAGGCGGAGGATTAGCCTAGTGAGCCGTGGCGCCGGTGGGGTATTGATTTTTGTGTGTTAATTTTATATCCTGTTGCTTTACCAAGCTCTTTTATGAGTTCCTTTAGTCTCTTAGTAGAGTCTTTTGGTTCCCCTATATATAGAATCATGTCATCTACAAATAGAAATAGTTTTGACTTCCTCCTTTCCAATTTGTATCCCTTTGATTTCTTTTTCTTGCCTAATGGTTCTGGCTAAAACTTCCAGGACTATATTGAAAAGCAATAGTGAAAGTGCACATCCTTGTCTGGTTCCAGGTCTTAGAATGCTTCCAATTTTTCCCCATTCAATAAGATGCTGGCTGTGGGTTTGTCATAAATTGCCTTGATTGTGTTGAGGAATGTTTCTTCTCTAGTCAGTTTGCTTAAGGTTTTCATCATGAAAGGATGTTGTATTTTATCAAATGCATTTTCTACATCTATTGAGATAATCGAATGGTTTTGTTTTTCAGTTTGTTAGTGTGATGTATCACATTGATTGTTTTGTGAATGTTGAACCATCATCCCTGCATGCTAGGGATAAATCTCACTTGGTCTGGGCGAGTGATCTTTCTGATGTATTGTTGGACTTGATTACCTAGTATTTTTATTTTATTTTATTTTTAAAATATTTATTTGAAAGAGTTACTGAGAGGGAGATATAGAAGCAGAGAGAGAGGCCTTCCATTAACTGGTTCACTCCCCAAATGGCTGCAATGGCCAGACTGAAGCCAGGAGCTAGGAGCTTCATCTGGGTCTCCCACGTGGGTGCAGGGGCTAAAGACTTGGGCCATCCTTCACTGCTTTCCCAGGCATGTTAACAGGGTGCTTGATCATAAATGGAACAACTGGGACTTGAACCAGTGCCCATATAGAATGCTGATGCTGTAGGTAGCAGCTTTACCCACTACACCAGAGCGCTGGCCCCAAGTAGCTAGTAGTTTGTTAAGGATTTTTGCATCCATGTTCATCAGGGATATTGGTCTGTAGTTTTCTTTCTCTGTTGTATCTTTTTCTGGCTTAGGAATTAAGGTGGTGCTGGCCTCATAGAAGGAGTTTGGGAGGATTCCCTCACTTTCAGTTGTTTTGAATAGCCTGAGAAGAATTTGATTTCTTTAAAAATGTGATAGAATTCAGCAGTGCAGCCTTTCAATCCTGGACTTTTCTTTGTTGGAAGGGTATTTCTTACTGATTCAATCTCCACCTTGATTCTTGGTCTGTTCAGGTTTTCTGTGTCTTCATGGCTCAATTTTGGTAGATTGTATGTGTCTAGGAATCTATCCATTTCTTCTAGATTTTCCAATTTATTGGCATCTATCTCTTTGTAATAATTCCTGATGATTCTTTTTATTTCTGTGGTATCTGTTGTTAATTTCCTTTTTCAGTCCTGATTTTATTAATTTGAGTCTTCTCCTTTTTTTTTTTTTGGCTAGTAGGGCCAATGGTATGTCAATTTTGTTTATTTTTTCAAAAAATACTCGTTTCATTGATATTTTATATTGATTTTTTTTTGTTTCAATTTTGTTTATTCTCTATTTCTTCCCTCCTCCTAATTTTGTGTTGGATTTGATGTTGTTTTTCTAGGTCTTTGAGATGCAGTGATAGCTCATTTATTTGATGCCTTTCTAGTTTCTTGATGTAGGTACCAGTTGTTATAAACTTCCTCCTTAACACAGCTTTTGCTGTATCCCATAAGTTTTGATTTGTTGTTTTGACATCTTTACCCATTTCCAGAAATTTTTTTTTATTTCCCTTTCGATTTATTCTATGACCCACTGTCATTCAAGAGCATGTTGTTCGGTCTCCATTTGTTTTTCTCTGTTCTAGAGATTTCTTGAGTTGTTAATTTCTGGCTTCATTCCTTTGTGGTCAGAGAAGATGCATGGTATGATTTCAGTATTTTTGAATTTGATGAGACTTGCTTTATAGTATAGCATGTGGTCTATCCTATAGAAAGTGCCATACACAGATGAAAAGAATGCATATTCTGCAACTGTGTGATAAAAGGTTCTGTAGGTATCAGTTAGGTCCATTTGGTCCATAGTGTTGATACTATATATAACTGTTGTATCTTGGTTGATTTTCTGTCTAGTTCATCTATCCATTGATGAAAGTGGGGTGTTGAATTCCCCCATTACTATTGTATTGGAGTCAATGTCTCCCTTTAGATCCATTACCATTTGTTTTAAATAACTAGATACCCTGGCATTGAGTGCATGTATATTTATTATAATCACATCTTCCTGTTGAATTGATCTCCTAATCACTACATAGTGCCCTTTTTTTGTCTCTTTTAACAGTTTTGTTTTAAAGTCTTTTTTACATCTGATATTAGGATGGCTATACCTGCTCATTTTTGCGTTAACATGGAATATCTTTTTCCATCGTTTCATTTTCAGTCTATGAGTATCTTTGTTGGTGAGGTATGTTTCTTGTAGGCAGCAAATAGATGGCTCTTCTTTTTAATCCGTTCAGCCAGTGTTTGTTTTATTGTAGAATTTACATCATTTACATTCAAGGTTACTATTGATAAGTAACAGCTTGGCTGTGCCATTTTTCCATAAATATTTCCATTGTTTAGATTTCCTTTGTACTTTTACTGGGAGATTATCTGCCTTCATATTATTTCATAGCGATACCTGTGTTTCTGTGTGTAGCACATCCTTAAGCATCATTTGTTAGGCTGGATGGGTGGTGACAAATTCTTTCAATTTCTGTTTGTTATGGAAGGTCTTTGTTTCACATTCATTCATAAATGAGAGTTTTGCAGGGTACAAACCCTGTTTGTACCCTGCGTTTAAAGTTTTTTAAGACTTGAATTGTGTCTCTCTCTCCTATCCTGTAGTGTGGTGGAATGAGAAGGCCATGCCAAGATGGCCACTGGCAACAGAAACTGCCTGGCAACAGGCTGCGATTGGATGGCTTCAGAAACTGGGTGTGATTGGTTAGGGCATAGACTGCCCCTTGACTGGATTGGCTGCCTTGGCTATATAAGCTGCTGTAGCAACTGAAGTAAAGGAGTCTGCAGGCTGCTTGGCTCAGGCCTGCTTTCACCAGGCTCCTGGGGTCTGTGTGGTGACTCCGCACCTCTTGCCCCCACCACGCTCTTCCTCTCAGGAACGAATCCACAGCAAAACTGTAGGGTTTCTGATGGGAAGTCAGCTGTGAGTAATTGGGGAGCCTCTGGAAGTAATCTGGTGTTTCTCCTGAGCACAGTTTAGAATCTTTTCTTTGGTTTACTGTTGAAAGTTTGACTACAGGTGTCCTGGTGAAGATCTTCTCTAGTCATGCCTATCAGGAAGGAGTTCTGTGTGCCTTGTATACTTGGATGTGCCTTTCTTTATCCAAATTAGGGAACTTTTCTGTAATTATTTCACTGAATAGGCCTTCTAATCCATTCTGTCTTTGCACTCCTTCAGGAACTCCTAAGACCCAAATGTTGGGTCATTTGATAGTATGCCATAAATCTTTAACACTGTTTTTAAGTTTTCTAATTATTATTATTATTATTATTTCTTCTTCTTCTCTTCTTCCTCCTCTTCCCTCCTTCTCCCTTCTCCTCCTTACAGCTTCTAACTTCTTTCTTCTTCTTTCTTTTTGCCTCTTCCTCCTCCTCCTCTTCTTCAGTTTCTCTTCAAAATCTCAATTTCATGAAAATTTTTCTTCTATGTCATGTATAGATTTCTTTAACTCTTGAATTTTCTTCTTATTGCTTCTGAGTAATTTTATGATTAATCTTCTGAATTCCTTTTCAGGCATTTCATAATCTTTGTCTTTACATTCTAATATTGAAGTGTTATTGTGTTCCTTTTGGGGGGTTGATATTGTGTTTCTTATTGTTTCTTGAATTTCTGTGTTTAGTTTTAAGCATTTTTGGGAATACTTGCTGGTTTTCTTCTCTGATTTTATCTTTGAAATATACCTGTGTGGCTTAGTGGAATGTCTACTCTCTGAGTGAATTCCCAGAGGCATATGCTGGGTATGGCCAGGGATTTCTGGTCAGTGCTCCAGGGTGGAGCAAGTATCCAGGGTAACACTCAAGTTGGGCGTGGTAGATCTCCTTTATTGTCAGCAGGGAAGAGAGTATGATCGCCTCTGTTGGCGTAATCACACCCTCTCCTCTCCTCTCCTCTTCCAAGGTGATCAGTGCCCTGAGTTCACCCACAGTGGGTGAACTCTCACCTGCGCTGCCACATGAACCACACAGAGGATCTGTGCAGTCTTCATATTAGCTCAGATCCTGCTACAGGGACCCACCCCCAGCATTCAGGGAGTGCTAAGCCTTTGGCACTGCACACAGTGATTGCCCAGAGACCCAGCCACACCCTGCTCCCTCTCGACAGTCACAGAGTTACTTCCATCTCCGCACACAAGGCTCTGACAGTTATGGGGTGCAAAGGATCTACCCTGTCCCAGTAGCCTATCCTGTTGATGGAAAGGCAGAGACGTTCCCAGAGCCAGCTGCCTGTGGGTGTTCCACCTTGGCAGTTTGATCCCAGGAGCCTGTGATATATTGAGAGGCTATGGGCACCTCACAGTCCTGTGTGCATGTCCAGCACCCTGTCAGTCCTCCCAGCCAGACTAGAGTCAGTGGGGAATGCAGATTTTTCCCTATGGTAAAAACTCCTGTATCACATGCGTGCACAGGAGCCACCACAACCACTACACGTTTCAAAATGGTGGCTTCTCCCCACTGGTTGCTGGCACACAGAGCTGCCACAGCTGCAGCTGATTTCAAATTGGCATCTTTTGCCCACCCATTGCTGGGTGCACACATTCAACCTGCCACAGCTGTTACTGTTGTCAAGATAGCACCTTGTCCCCACCAGTTGCTGGGTGCATATACAAGAGCCAACACAGCTGCCCTCTCCTAGCCAGTTGCTGGGCGCCGTTGTTGGCAGATGGGAAGAGAGGAACGTTCTCTTTGTTTGCTGGGTTAGGCTGGTAACCTGTCCCCCTTAGGGCTCCAAGCTGGACTCAAAGACAGGGTACTCTACCAGGCTGTATCCCCAGCGGCATGGGCTGCTTTAGTCTAGTCTCACCTCACTCTCCAAAGCTGGCGCTTCTTACGCCTCTCAGCTGCAGGAGTCGTGTGTTTTTGTCTGTGCTCATTGCTGTGCACCCATACCTTCTTCTACACTAATCCCTAGCTTCCCTCTTCCTTCTGTAGAATTTCCACTGCAGAGTTCTCTCCAACTCTCCCCTGGGAATTCACTACTTCAATGTTTTTGCTGCTATCTTCCCCTCACCTGAAGCAGTACGTCCTTTCCTTATTCCGCCATCTTGACCCACCCCCTTTGTTTTAGTTCATTATGTTATGTTGGATTAAAGCCCTGTGTTTTTTAGGACTAGCGTGTTGCTGGTGTGACTTAGGCAGTTTCTCACTATTTAAACCTAACTGTATTGTTTGCATTTCAGAAGCATACTTATTTTACCCATGAAACTGTTCTCTAATTTAGTAAAGTAGAATCATTAAAACAGTGGTCTACAACGCATTTCACTTAATCATTTCATGTACAGTTCAACCAACATCCCAAATACTGGCAAAATGAATACTAAGACTAAAAAAAACACAGATAACAACTTGAGTTATATGGGTTAGCATAAGGAGTGTTTTGGGGTAAAAGTATAAAAAATACTCTTTTTTTCCCAAACCCAAAAAATTATTAGTAATACAGGATTAGCAAACTGAATTTAATACACTTTTTTGCTTGTTTTATAGCTCAGGAATCTTGCATTTAAGAAAATTCCCCAGAAATCTTCCCATGCCATTTGTAACACTCAACATGAGCTTTCACTGTCAAACCCAGTACAGAAGGAGTCACGGGAAGAAAACTGGCAGGAGTGGAGACAAAGAGATGAGCAGGTACAGCTAAATAAATACAGTTATTTTGCCTTGTTTTTCAGTGAGTTTTTGGATTGTTTAAGATGGCAGTGCATCTAAATCTATGTCACTACCATTGTGAAGAATAGTCTGTACTCGATTAATTCACATGTGTTTGCTGCTGTTTTTTATCTACTAGAAAATCAGATCAGTATGTCATTTATGTTACTTTTAGCAATTCAAAGTTATTTCATGGTTTTAAAAATTAATTGGCCTTTTTACAAATGAGAGAGAATGAGGAAATGTAGAAGAACAGGAATAAGTTATGTTAGCGAAAAACCACATTTGTAGGGCTAGAGGTCTTTTGTAAAAACTACCACCTGGCAGTTTGCTTAAAAAAGAAGGAATTTGTAGGGGAAAATTTTTTCTTTCCAACTTGATGTGAAGCTCTTGATGGTATTTGTTTTGTTAACCTACTTACATGATATTTTGTTTCTATCTCTCTATTAAATATCAATAATAACAACCAAATAAAATAGAAAATTTATTAAAACCAATACATTTCTCCTTTTTTTGTTGTGTCTAGGAAAAAAACATACTAAGCCTGGAATGTACTCCAGGAGATACCGTATGTATAGAAAATAAAGTTATTTCTTTGCTTATCTATTTGGTCTCTTAGAAATAGATAGCATTGTAGCAGATGTTTGGTCTAGCAGAGTGACTTACCTATCATTCTTGGGTAATTAGTATTAAAAGAAATAGACTCAATAAGCTGTGCTCTTAACATATAAACATTTAGTTTAGGCTCTTGCAATGCCTCAAGCTCATCATATGGATGTCAGTTACTATAGAACCATGCCATAATGCTATTCAAAAGATATTTCTAGGCACTGTTAAACTGGATAAATCATCTTGTATTTCTAGGTATCTTTTTTGCTTGTACAATATTTATTATGCTAAATTCTTTTTTATACGTATAAATGTTATATTGATTGACTTTTTTAGATGGTAATAGTTTTACAGATGTCCTCTACAGAGAGAATTTCTCCCAGTATCCCAAAGAGAACTGGAAAACCAATGAAGGAAAGCTACTTAAATTTGCTCTAGGGGCAGGCATTTGGTACAGTAATTAAATATGCCAGTTGGGATACCTACATCTGTTTCCCAGTGTTCTTGTCCTGGTTCCACTTCCAATTCCATCTTCCTGCTAATGTACACCCTGGGAGGTAGCAGGTAATGACTCAGGAACTTGGGTCCCTGCCACCTACATGGGAGACCTGGATGGAGTTCCTGGCTTCTGACTTCAGACTGGGTGTTGTCTTTTCCTCCCTTTCTCTCTGTGCTATTCAAATAAATAAAAATTAATGGATTAAAAACATTTTTAAAACTGCACCAAAGTAAATTCCATGCAATAAGAAAATAAGCACAGATACTTCATTGTCTTTCCTCCTTTTGCCACTAATTACTATCAAAATGATCAGGTAATTACGTCCCTGCACCTGTACAAGGAAGCCATTCAAGGCTCAAGAACTTTTGCTGTGAATGACAGAACAGACAAAAAGCTGGATATGGAAATCTTAGCTGTTACATGGCTGCTTATTTCAAACATTCAAAAGAGGAATTATCCTGGGGCCGGCTCTATGGCATAGCTGGTAAAGCCACCACCTGCAGTGCCAGTATCCCATATGGGCACGGTTCAAGTCCTGGCTACTCTGCTTCTGATCCAGCTCTCTTCTATGGCCTGGGAAAGCAGTAGAAGATGGCCCAAGTCCCTGGACCCTGCACCCGAGTGGGAGATCCAGAGGAAGCTCCTGGCTCCTGGCTTCAGATTAGCCCAGCTCAGGACGTTGTGGCCATTTGGGGAGTGAACCAGCAAATGGAAGACCTCTCTCTCTCCATCTCTCTCTGCCTCTGCCTTTCAAATAAGTTAACATTTTTTTAAAAAAGAATTATGACAAATTTTCCAGTGCTAAATCACCATATTTATAATGCAAATTTACATCAGCTAAACTTCAGCATAAAATATGAGAACTCTAATTAAAAACTACCAGATGGACAGTAAAGAAGCATCCATTCCTACTTAAGAACAAGCCCTGTATCTTAACTGATTTCAACTCAACAGAAGAAAAGTTTTTGTGACATGAAAGGGGAAAAAACTTTGTACTTAATGTCCAGAGTGAAAGCATAATTTGAGAATAATCAGCTCTAGGGCATGGAAGTTAATTTTAGATAGCACCTACTTTCTAGCGAGGGTCTAGAACATTTTGTAAAATGTTTATTATATAAAAGGGGAGATAAGATAATGGACTGAAATGAAAAAGTGGTTGAGAAACAGGGATTGAAAGGGAGATGGATGAATTTTTAAAATTAGGAAATAAAATAATAGCAGATAAAAATTTCATTAGAATGACCAAAGAACAAGAGTATACCCTGAAGAAAATTAAGCCAGTTATGTGAAAGGAAAATTTGATATTTTGCTGATAAAATAGATGTGTTATATTGGATCATTGGGCTGAAATCCAATAGAGGCATAATTAGTATCCTTGAAATAAGTATAATACAGACAAGCATTAAGATGATGCTAATAAAAATTTCCCTAAGCTTAAGACTTGAATGTAAACTTAAAAGAACTGAAGTCAACTTTAAGTCTCCTAAAAAGTTTTTCGTTTTAAGAATGAGAAATAAGGCAATAATGCTGTAAGTATATGCATGAAAGAAAAAAGATTGCCTGTAAATAATGAAAAATCAGGCTTACCACTTAAATCCAGAACTGAAAGTTAGGACCAAGACTTCCATATCTACTTAAAAAGTCATTTGTGAGAGTAAAGAAATACATGCTGAGGTACACAAGGACTGAAAAAACGTACCATCATTATCCTTTCTGAGATGGCCGATTTATTTATTTATTTATTTTAAGATTTATTTTATTTATTTGAAAGACAGAATTACAGAGAGAGGTAGAGACAGAGAGAGAGGTCTGCCATCTGACTCCCCAGATGGCCGCAACGGCCAGAGCCACGCCAATCCGAAGCCAGGAGCCAGGAGCTTCTTCCGGGTCTCCCACATGGGCGTAGGGGCCCGAGGACTTGGGCGATCTTCTGCACAGCACTGGCCCCAATTCCTGGCTCTTAACTCCAGCTTCCTGCTAATGCTGACCCTGGGAAGCAGAGGTGAATGACTCAAGTACTTGAGTTCCTGCCGCCTCCGTGGGAAACCTAAGTTGAGTTCCTGGTTCCCAGCCCCTCCATTGTAGGTGTTCAGGGAGTGAGCCAGCAGATGGGAGCTGTTTCTTTTGCTTTCTTTCTGCCTCTCAAGGGAAAAAAACATAATGTGTGTTGAGGGGTAAATCTAAGTAAGGATCATAACAATTGGAAAACCAATGGTGAACATTGAAACTAGTTCAATAAATAATTAATTGTACTGGCCGGTGCTGTGGCACAGCAGGTTAATGTCCTGGCCTGAAGCACCAGCATCCCATATGGGCGCCGGTTGGAGTCCCGGCTGCTCCTCTTCCGATCCAGCTCTCTGCTATGGCCAGGGAAAGCAGTGGAAGATGGCCCAAGTCCTTGGGCTCCTGCACCCGCATGGGAGACCCGGAAGCTCCTGGCTCCTGGCTCCTGGCTTCGGATCAGCACAGCTCCAGCTGTTGTGGCCTACTGGGGAGTGAACCATCAAATGGAAGATCTCTCTCTCTCTCTCTCTCTCTCTCTCTGTCTCTACTTTCTCTGTGTAACTCTGACTTTCAAATAAATAAATGTTTAAAAAAAAAGAATTAATTGTAGTGGTTGTAAATGCAGTTATTAAAGGAAGCATAACCCATTTGAAGAATTTGTATGAAATGAAATTTCTGTTTATGGATACAGAAATTAGGAAGAGGAGCCACAGCACCGGCCCTGATCTTAGTTTTAATCTTTCCCTGAACATTAAAAATTATATATATTGACAGTGAAAGGTTCAGTATTTTCTGGCTATTTTGTTGAGATATGCTGCCAGAGGTACTAAGAATTGGAGAGATCTGAGCCGGCGCTGTAGCTCACTAGGCTAATCCTCCGCCTTGTGGCGCCGGCACACCGGATTCTAGTCCCGGTTGGGGCGCCGGATTCTGTCCCGGTTGCCCCTCTTCCAGGCCAGCTCTCTGCTATGGCCCGGGAGTGCAGTGGAGGATGGCCCAGGTCCTTGGGCCCTGCACCCGCATGGGAGACCAGGATAAGTACCTGGCGCCTGCCATCGGATCAGCGCGGTGCGCTGGCCGCAGCGCGCCGGCCGTGGCGGCCATTGGAGGGTGAACCAACAGCAAAAGGAAGACCTTTGTCTCAGTCTCTCTCTCTCACTGTCCACTCTGCCTGTCAAAAAAAAAAGAAAAAGAAAAAAAGAATTGGAGAGATCTTTGTTGCAGTTTTAAGGTCTTTAAAGAAATGCTTTTCATCTCCTTTTTCATTCATAAACGTAAATCTTTCCCAGTGTAGTTTATTGTGGAAAAAATAGTCTTACATTTCCTACACTTTTCTTTCCATAGGTGTATATCAAAAGATATATGGTTCATATTTGAAATGGATATGTTATGTGATAGGTACTATATAAAATAGGTGAATTATATTAAAATAAAGCTGTTGTTAAAAAGATGATTAGGGGTTGGCATTGTGGCATAGCAGGAAAAAATGCCATCTGCGACACTGGCATACCATATGGGCACTGCTTCACTACCGATCCACCTCCCTGGTAATGCCCTTGGAAAAGCAGTGAAGATAGCCCAAGTATTTGGGCCCCTGCACCCATGTGGGAGACACAGAATGAAGCTCCTGGATTTGGATTTGGGCCTGGCTGTTGCAGCCATCTGAGGAGCGAACGAATGGATGGAAGATCTCTCCCTCCCCCTCCCCCTCTCCCTTTCCCCTCCCCCTTATACCTATATTTCTGCAATGCCTATAAGAAATGAGTAATTTTTCATTTGGAATTTATTTTTTGTTTGGATTTCATTGGGTAAAAGTGTTATGGTACTTAGACTAAACAAATTTTTTTTTAGACTTTGGTTCCAACATATTTACTGTCCTTTAGGTTCTCTTTTTTTTATTGGTTCTGCATACTCTGTGATCATAAACCCTTGAGGTTTGCTTAAGTAGAAAAAAGTGTTTTAATAGTAAATGGGGAGTAGGAGGCAGTGAAGGAAGCCAAGGGGAAGGGTATCTGAAGTACTCCATCTTGGGCACGTTTATGTATCTGTATGTATCTTTGCTGGTTCACTCCCCAAATGCCCCCAGGGGCTGTTCTGTGCCATGCTGAAGCAGGAGTGAGGAGCTTCTTCTGGGTCTTACATGTGGGCAGCAGGGGCCCAAGCACTGGGGCCATCTTCCACTGTTTTCCCAGCGAGGACTTGAACCAGCGCCCATATGGGATGCCAGCACTGCAGGCGGTAGATTAACCTGTGCCACAGCACCAGCCCCTCTGTAGGCATTTTAGTGCCGCCTCTTCCCTTTTTCTCCTCCTTTCTTCCTCATCTCATATATACAAAGAAAAGAATGAAAATTTTCCACTTGAAACTTAAATGTGGATAGTTTCCAACTTAGAATGGTTTGCCTTAGAGTTTTTCAACTTTATGGTGGTAGGAAAGTGAGATGCATTCTGTCAAAA